TATATATATATATCTGGTTGACATAACTTTCCATTTAGGTATTCTATATAACATGCTGCTGTGGTTTGATATTATCTGCTGAGTGGTACATTTGCACTTGTATTTTATAATGAGTTGTAGAGACATGAATCGCTCTTGCTGTGTGACATCCAGTCCCTGCATTATATGATCTCCACCAATCCTGTCCATGCTCTCATATGTGGACATGGTATAATTGCTTCAAATGTGAGTTCTGTCCTGTGAGCACAGTCCCTATAGAACAGGATGTCACAGTCCCTATAGAACAGGCTGTCACAGTCCCTATAGAACAGGTTGTCACAGTCCCTATAGAACAGGTTGTCACAGTCCCTATAGAACAGGCTGTCACTCAGGATTATGTTCCTTCTGCTTCTTAATCATAACTTTTTTATTTATAAAACCTCTACCTCTCTCTGTAATGATGAGGTACTATAGAGTGAGTGTCCTCCTGATCTGGGGTGACATCATTGGATTGGACAAACATTTGGAGTGTATTTTATTGATCTCTAAGCATGTAGGAGGAAATATATTTAGTTGAATTGGATTCATCTTTTCTATAATACACAAGGAATAATTTGATGAATATGATTGTGTATATATGGAACTTCATCCAATGGCTGTATACCCCCATCACTTTACCCTCCTATGGTACCTGGGTCTCCACACACAGGGAATGCTACGTCAGCTCCAAACTAAACCTTAAACTGGTTGTAAAGGCTCAAGGTTTCATGCAGCAGTCCCCCTCCCCCTCAATACTTACCTGAGCCTCATCCTGATCCAGTGGTGTGCACCCCGGGGGACTCTGGCTGAGGCAGCAGTGGCTCCCAATGAGGAGAGAGCGGTGTTGGTGCTGAGCCGTCGGCTGTGTGTTTGAATGGATACGCAGAGCAGTAGCTCGGGAATGAGTCTGCTTGGGCACCCCATAGCAAGTTGCTTGCAGTGGGGGCAGAAGGGAGGGGCCAGGAGCGCCATCGGGGGACCCGAGAAGAGGAGGATCGGGGCTGCTCTGTACAAAACCATCACACAGAGCAGGTAACCAACCTGTTTGTCATTTTTAAAAAAAAATTGCTTTTTGATATCACTTTCAGCCTCAGTTCACAAATATGCAAATTTGAATTTGTTTTCAACTGTACCAATCCGCTTGATGCAATTGAAAAGCTTTCCTGCAGAGCCCATTCACATACATGTGGGCCAGCTGCAGTGCAATTTTAAAGAGTCCTGTGCGATTTACAGTGTGGTGCAGGTGTGATTTCCAATCTCATCCACTTTACTATTCGCATCGAAATCGTACTGCACCCCGGCCAGCATATATGAGAACCAAGGCTCAGCCTTGCCCTCTACGGCTTGTACTACACAGCAGGTTTCCTGTGGGTGATCCCCAAAACCAGGAGCAGCAGTACAGCAAGTAAATGGGGGAATGTGGAAGGGTGACCCAAGTGACCATAGCAGAGTGAAGTAGCATTTACAGTAGGTGAAAATGTGTGTGTGTGTGTGTGTATGTATGTATGCATGTGTGTGTGTATATATATATATATATATATTTTTTTTTTTAACATACAATGCAATGCTGTCCAGGCACCTAACACAAAAATAATAAATGTACATTTTTTTTTTTACCTGCAAAAAAAAATGTGCATTTATTATTTTTTTATGGAAAGGTGAACTTATCCTTTAAGCAACCACTGGCTATAGCTAGGATCTCTCCATTCATGAGGCTCACTTTAACTTGGACTCGCTCTGTTATACTGACATGTTTGGGGTGTGCAGGACTGCCCATAGAGAATATGTACAGGTCAGATAAACCATTTCCAGACCCCTTGGAGTCAAAGAACAAAACTCAGGTGTGGAGTGAAAAAGAGACCTGCATGGGTCTGTATTCATTTTATGGTTTGTCTGCTGTTCTTTATGAGCATTTCACACAAAATACAGATACTTTAAGATTCACATATGCATACTAATTGCTGATCATCTAACCAGAATGGTTTTTGTTTTAGGAGATGGGATCATTTTCACTTACATTTCAAACTGCAGTAAGAAAAGATATTGGAAAGCATCGGAAGAGATGGAGTGATACTCTGATGAATTCTGTGACAGAAGAGGTCAGTGTGTTTGATATTTTTACTATCCGTACTATGACACTACTAAGTGACCGGGATCAACAATGTAGAATCTTTTCAAATGGATTCCGCTTTAGTCCTTCTTAATAAAAGGTCAGGACCTCCTGAAACATTTCATCCTCGGTTACTCTGCACTGACGTTTTAAGCCTCTAATAGGATTTAATTTGGCCTTTAAGTCTTTTTTTTTTTTCCTTCCCTGATAGATGACACAAGTGGGAGAGCGGTTCTCTACAGTCCTCAAGCTAAACGCAAGTTACCAAACACATCTGCAGGGTCTCTTGTAAAACCAAAAAGCATGACAATGCTGGGGAACATCCTCTATGTATACACCAGACATTCCGATATCTCAAGTATGTAAAAAAATTTGGTACAAAATAAATATAATCCAAATTATTCTTTTGCAGAATTGTTTTTGTTGCAGTACTTCTTATATCTCTCGGGCATAAGATGGCAGCAGAATCACAGCTCTCAACCTATGTCGGCTCCAATGTAAAAACATTTATTCCGGCATCCTAAGGTCCATGGTTGAGGACACTGTGGGGGAGATTTACTAAAACTGGAGAGTGCAGAATCTGGTGCAGCTGTGCATGGCAGCCAATCATCTTCTGACTTCAGCTTGCTCAGTAAAGCTTTGACAATGAGTCCTCATGCACACTTGATGTTTTTACAGCTGCTAGTAAAGCCCTCCCAGCATGTGCTCCTGTGTGTCCATACACACAGACTGTAATAAATGTTTTTGGCTGGAAAAAAAAAAACCCAGGACTGAGTTTTTTTTTTTTTTAGCTGTAAAGATGCTTTAACGGTGAAAAACATGGTAAAATCTGCATTTTTGGCTGTTTTTTTTTACCAAAAAAAAAGCTAAAAAAAACCCAGGTTTTTAACATGAGTTCACACAGCTAATGTTACCAGCATTATCATCAAAACATCCCCCCAGTGTGCATGAGGACTAAAACCTGGAAGCTGATTGGTTTCTAAGCAGAGCTGCTCCAGTTTTAGTAAATCTGCTCTTTTCGGTCTACACCTTGGTTTCTCCAAACCAATTATTTATTAAACATTTTCATACATAAATTATCCATAGCCATGTATTCTCACCTGCGTAATACCTCTATACGTGCCTAGCCATATTTACTACCCTGTTCTACCTATAATTTCTACACATACTACCTTACAGTACAGTATGTATACCCCAAACATTTTTTTAGTTTATAGAGTAGGAAAGGGTTAAATCCCTGCCATGTAAGTTTGCTGTCTGTGTTTCATTGGAGACATTTCCCCTACTGTCCTGTCCCAGAGCTGCACCAGCAATCTAGGGTTTTTCCCTCACCTCTTGTTATGGGGACAAGTCTAAAATGATTAGATTTCACTTTCCTTCTCAGTGACACTGATCGCAGCAATCAAAAAAAAAAAAAAAAAAAAAAAAAACTTGACAGAGGGTGTAAAATCTTCCCCACTATGTAAAACTAGATAAAAAAAAAGCTTTGCCTACAACTAGAATAACTATAGGAGAAGCTTGTTACTTCAGATAGTAATATTTTCTGGAAAAACTGTAATAGCAAACCTATAAAGTAAATTAAAAAAAAAGCCTTGTTCCAGAGAAACAGAAATGTTATGGAGTACACTGCAGGTTTTACCTATATATGTAAAAAGAAAATACCCAGTTCAAACTTGCCAGCCAGCTAGCCAACAACCAAATTAACCTGTCTAACAACGTGCGTTTAAAAACGGGTTTAGTTAGCACACATTTGCAAATACATACGTAAGCCACAGAGCCTCATCACGGCACCCCGATATTCTGTGGTCCTAACTACAAATTTTCAGAGCCCTCATAGTAGATGCACATGCATTTAATGGACAGACCAAGGGCAGGTGAACCTGAGGGAGCCCATCCCCTCCTTAAAGGCACGGGTGCACTGGACACCCTGGCTGCTATATGCTGGGTGTCCAGTGTGCTCCCACTCACCTAAAATACAAAAGGTTTTAAAACGCATATTGTTAGACAGGTTAATTTGGTTGTTGGCTAGCTGGCTGGCAAGTTGAACCGGGTATTTTCTTTTCTTTTGATATGTGATGCCTGTCCATGTTCCTTGCTGTAAAAGCCAGTTAGACTGTGGCAGTGACCACCTCTTTGTATTTACCTATCTATGTGTGTATCTCTAGCGACCATACCTGTACATGTATATTATGACTACAGCTGGCTTGTTCACAGCATGTCTGTTGAACTGTGTTTTTCTGCACATGTGTGGTGTGAACGGGGCCCATAAATTTACATTGAGTCCTGCTCACACCATCCATGCGTAATGTTGTGCTGTAAAACAGTTCAACCGCCATGTCAACAAGCCCTATCCATACACCTCCTTTAATGCAATTATACAATTGAAAATACATATTGGGCTCTTCCCATACAAATACACCTTACACAATCATAGCCAAAGTCTTCATATTTGTTTTTTTTTTTTTTTTTTTTATAAAAAAAGGGCTGCCACTTAGTTTTTGCATACATATGGGACAAGTACTTGCTGAAAACCACTCCTTACAGGAATAAAATGGTAGACATCGTACAATTGTCAGTTTGCTGAGTAAATACATCCAGGCATGGATTGGTTTGTATGGTTTTTTGCGTATTAGTAGTCAAATGGCCTGAATAATTCATTATGCCAATGATAGCTGTATACAGCAGGGGAGGAAAGGACAGGACAGGGCCTTTTTGCTAACCCAGCAAAACTTTATGTATAAAACATCACATTACATCAGTCATATATAAAAAGAAATTTATTCTCTTACTAGACAGTGCAGATTACAACGATGACAACAGAGAAAGCTCTAAAAAGGACGGGACATACACGACTGTTTATGCTAGAGGGGTCTCAGACATTATATGAAGAGGACGACACGTTTCCACCGTGTCCAGTCCAGTTTGTGTGAACAAAATATCCCGGCTTAGGCAGGAGCTCGTAGGTGTGAGCACCAAAGTAATCTCTCTGGGCCTGAAATAGAAAAAGTACACATATTACTACCAGCACACTCTATAACCCTCCTCTATGACTGGTTGGTTTATAATAAAAAAGAAAAAAAAATATAGGCAACAATTCAAATTACATAAACATGAAAGACTTGACATCTCCTGGGCCAAGCAGAATATAAACCAAATCTATGGTATGTCTGCATATGTCACAGCGATTAGGAAGAGCGAGAGCTGAATATGCAACATGGCTTCTAGTTGGGAGATAAGTGCCTACTGACATATCAGAGGATGGAACTAGGAGACAGTGTATGGGTGGAAGCATTGATGATGTATCAAAAGATAAGACACGGAGGCAGCAGCATGTTTATAATAAAAAAATAAATAAAAGTGCCAATAATTAACTTCGATACAAAAACGCCTCTAAGTTTTTCTTAAATGTGATATACATTTCTTTTTATGTGTTACATTCAATTAAAGAATACGATCCAGTAACATAAAATAACTTAAGTTATGAGAAAAAAAAAAAAAAAAATCTAACTGTGCATGCTGATGTGTCAGTTTTGGTCCAGAATTGTCATTTCTGGTGTACTGCTATTAGGTATGGCTATTTTTTTTTCTTGCAGTTACATTGGGCCCATTTGGCATGTATGTGCTAAAACTGGTTAGACATGGTGGGATAGTGATCTCAGCCTCCACCTCATCCTCTCTGATTCACCGAGAACATGCAAACTGTTCTCTCAGAAAGGCAGTGAGCCAAGTGATTGACCTCCTGTGTTCACTATGTAGAAGGGTAGCACTGATCATTGTAGTAGTGCCTCCTACAGTGATTTCCAGGTTCCATAGGGATTGGCCAAACATGGCACATACTTACACTGAGCCACTGTACCTGTACAAAAAAAAAAAAAAAAAAAAAAAAAAAAAAAAAAAAAAAAGGAGCCATGCCTAAACGTTAGTGATTCAAAGAAAACCAGTCAGGGCAGATACATAGGAGCTGCCACAGCTGTGTTTTAGGAGTGCAGGCAAAAGCTTTTACCCTTATACTCTCATTCGTACTTGGCAAGCCCCTGACCTGGACCGTGTGTGCATATTAGGTCAGGATACCTCACTTCTGTGCTAAGGAAAAGGCGACAGATCAAAATGTATTCTGCTACGTCTTTGCTAGGGAAAAAAAAAAATATCCCAGTACATGTAAATTAATTGGTTTACGTGAAAGTGATAGTCTACAAATGGCAGTATATATACTGGGATTTAATTTTTTTTAAATACTAGTAAGGGTGGCAATCAGCAATTTATAGTGGGACTGCAAGGGGGAACGGTCACTAACATCCCCAGTGACACCAATACAGTGATCAGTGCTAATAGACAGCACTGGGCAGGAAGGGGATAACTGTGTGCCACATGTTTTACTTGGGAAACATGCTGCTATGTATGTTTGTGATGTGCAGAGAAATACACAGGTCTTTTCCGTCATTGATACGCAGCAATTGCCGATGGGGAATCTCTGTCTGGGACCCAGTGATCAACAGCTGTAGCGTGTGCGTATGTGATTTTGTGTAGTTCTGCTATAGGGTGGAGGTAGGGAAACAGTTAACACTGAACAGTCAGATTGTTCAATAATCCCATCTGTAACAAGACCAGGGATGCATACAGAAGAATAACAGAACAAAAAGTAAAGCTGAGCAAATGAAAGGTAAAGCCATCCTCAGGTTCATTGAGACTAATGTGTGAGTCAAACAAAAACCTGGAAATAGAACAGGAATACAAGATGAACGAGGCAGATTTACAATCAGAAGACAAAGATGGCGGTGCTATGGTGAGATGGAATAAGGTATGTCACAGACCAGGAGAAAGGAGGACAGACAAGGAGGAGGTGATACAATGCGGGACAGCAAGATTATGAACTGGATATTGGTAGAGAGCCAATCAACGCTCATACCACATACTATCACGACCCTGACTCCCAATATACACTGTAGACGCATTCTGCACAAAGTCCTATCACCATCATATCTTACCTGGATGAGGTTGGCTGGTAACATTTCATGCCTGTAACCATCATAGAAAGCCAGTGCGGTGGTAAAGCATGGCATAGGAATACCGTACTGCACTCCGGTGCTCACTACTCTGCGCCACGATTCCTGGGGAAGCACAGAAATATACAGATGAGGGAAATAAGGGCAGCATGTCCCACGACACAATAAAGACTTCTTTCTGAGATTTGTGGGCAAAAATGTAACTACCATCTAATGTGGACTTTCCAGTCTGTATCAGTTCCTGACATGTCACAATACACAACTACTCAAGCTGCAGTATTTGCAGGTCTGTCTGAATAAAAGCACATTGAAGGCTGCTGAATGCCATTGGCAGGAGGAAGTATTCCCCAGACATCCATCCCTGTAAATCGCTCACACAAGGCTATGAGAACACCTTAGTATGTGCTGCACATGAAAGTGAACACATGATGACAACACAGCTACTGTCAGACTGTTTATAAAAAAGGTCCTTATTTGGTCTCTGGCCTGAAACAAGCATGCAGCCATTGAAGTCTAAACTCTTGTTGTAGGCCAGCAACTTGCTACATTCCTAGGGAGACCAGTATGACAGCTCCGGTTCTAAATCTTGGGGGGGGGGGGGGGGGGGGGGGGAGACCCACAACCACACTCCTCCCCATTTCTAATCCACACAGGGTCCCCCTTTAAATTTGGGACCACAAAAGAGTGTGTGTATCCATATATAAAAAAAAAAAAAAGTCAAATCTGATCATTTGGGGAGCCCCAAAATTCACCTGTAAGACCCCACCAAATAGAACGTTTACCTTTAAAACATAAAAATCAGTTCATGCTGTACAGCAAAGATTTGATTCACATTTGCACCGAATTGTGTGGTCTGTGCAGAATCAAATATTAGGGTTGCTGCTTACTGACAATACAAACAGTGGCTTGCGTTTGCCATAGAATCTCAAGTAAGATCTTCTAAAAGCGGCTTGAATGAATCACTCCTGCAATAAGTCTCCTTACCTGGCAGTTGTGCATCTCCTTTTTGAAGAAATCGTCCAACAAGAGATTTTGCAGATCTGGATTCCTGTCGAAGGCTTCCTTGATCTTGCCCAAAAACACACTAAAGTCAAACAATGAAGAAAAGCATTTCATTATACAGCCTCTGTTCATGTGAGCAGCTGATTTGTTCTTGGTTGTCAGAGGATACAATAGCTTCCTGATATCCCTTCACAGATACTGAGCTGAACAGCCTTGCATTTCATGTAGGTTGAAGAGCTCACATTCCCCAGATGCATTCTCCATTGAAATCAACAGAAAAATGTTCAAAGCACGTCAAAATGTATTAATATCAAATGTACAGCTTAGAGGACGATGAAGCCTTTTTTTTTTCCCCTCAAAAATTTTGGTCTTTTTGTTTGTTTAGCAACAAATAAACCCAGTGATGATTAAATAACACCCAATTTAAAAGGCTCCATTTCAAAAAAAACAAACCACACAACATGATAAAAATTTCATTTGGTTACAGTGTTGCATGACTGCGCAGTTGTCAAAGTGCAACAGCACTGAAAACTGGCCTGGGCAGGAAGGGGGTAGAAGTGCCCGGTAGGCAAGTGGTTAAACATGTCCAGTATAAAAATGTAAAAAAAATCAAATGTCATAAATTTAGGCCAAAATGTATTCTGCGACATGTCTTTGCTAGAAAAAAAAAATCCCAATACGTGGAAATTAATTGGTTTATGTGAAAGTTATAGCGTTTACAAATGGCGGTATAGATACTGGGATTTATTTTTAATTTGTGCAACAGCACTGAAAGCTGAAAATTGGCCTGGGCAGGAAGGGGGTGAATAGAGCTCAGTACTGAAGCGGTTAACCACTTGAGCTCCTGAGGATTTACCCCCCCCTTAATGACCACGCCTTTTTTTGCTGTTTGGCGCTGCACTAATTCAAATGATAATTGCGCGGTCATGCAACGCTGCACCCAAACAAAATTTACATCCTTTTTTTCACACAAATAGAGCTTTCTTTTGATGGCATTTTATCATCTGTGCGCTTTTTATTTTTTGCGCTATAAACAAAAAAAAAAAAAAAAATTTTGAAAAAAAAACAATATTTTCTACTTTCAGCTATAAAAAATATCGTAAACTCAAAGTTAGTCATAAATTTAAGCCAAAATGTATTCTGCTCCATGTTTTTGGTGAAAAAAAATCCCATGCATTAGTGGGCAAACTGGCACTATCTGGGAGGGGCGCTAACACTATCAGAAGTCACCAGTGACACTAATACAGTGATCAGTAAAAATCTGTTCACTGTAATCAATGACACTGGTGACAGGGCAGTGAAGGGGTTAACAGGGGGGGGGGCGATCAAGGGGTTAGACGGGATTACTGGTGTATTAGCAGGAAATCTGGTGCTATCTGGGAGGGGCGCTAACACTGTCGGAAGTCGCCAGCGACACTGATACAGTGATCGGTAAAAATCGGTGCAGTGACAGGGCAGTGAAGGGGTTAACGGGGGCGGGGGGGGGGGGGATTAAGGGGTTAAACAGGATTACTGGTGTACTGGCGGGCAAACTGGCGCTATCTAGGAGGGGCGCTAACACTATCGGAAGTCGCCAGCGACACTGATACAGTGATCAGTAAAAATCGATTCAGTGACAGGGCAGTGAAGGGGTTAACTGGGGGTGGGGCGATCAGGGGGTTAAATGTGTCTTAGGTGTGTTCTAACTGTGGGTATGTGCTGTTTTACTCACAATTTGTATGTCTTCTTCTCTGTCTGGAACGGAATGTGCCCAGGCAGAGAAGAATGACATCATATCCTGTCCTGTGTAAATGTCAACACAGGACAGGATAGGACAGGGACCAATCATCTGATTTCAGCCAGACATCACTGGCTGAAATCGAATGATTGATCCCTCCGGGATCAAATGGAGTCACCCACGGGTCGGCGGGAGCGCACCCCCCCCCCTTCCGGCGAAAACGTCGGGAGCGCGGAGACGGTTTTAAAATGTGGTTTTGCACCCCAGTGCCATATATACAGTGGCAGGGCGGCAAGTGGTTAAGCTGGAAGGTTTCTATTCAGAGCTGCACCAGGATTTTACACTCTCCAGTTTCAGTAAATGACCTCCATAGTCAGTCCTGAAGCATCTTACACTCTGAAAAATTGGTTGAGAAGCCCTGCATTAGTCAAGGCACCCTTTAAAATTCTGCACACCCGCCCCTGCACTGCCACCATCCAGCCATTTATATACAGCAGCCGGCCGGGAAGTGGTTAACGAAAAAGAAGGTGTTAGCACATACCTCATGACTTAGAGCGGACAAGTAATTACCTGCGGATGATGCAGCCTCCCCTCCACATCATAGCGATCCCGCCATAATTCAACTTCCAGCCAAACTCCTGAGCCGCCTGGCGGAACAGGATGAATCCTTGTGCGTAGGAAATGATCTTGGATGCATATAGTGCCTGCAACAGGTAACAGAAGGCAGTTTAGTAGTCACCGAGTTAGCCTGAGCACCGACTGCAGCTAAAACTAGAACAGCATGTGTTTAAAGGGGAACTCCACTAAATGTATATACACATTACAACTGGTGCGCAGTTTCCTTTTGTCCTTGGTTCTATGGACTGCAGCCCACACACAGGCAAGCTTTCAATTCCTGATGTGGAGGGACTGTGGCTGATAATGGCGGCTTTGTGGGTGTAAAGCAGATGTCGACTAGGACAGGGCTTTGCTTCCTGCCTGCCATGAATGCAAAATCTGTGAACATTGCTTGTACTTACCTGTGGCTGCCTGAGACTAACAGTGACTGCATCTGGTTGATACAGTCACTGTTTGGAAGGCACTGGGTGGAAAATTGCCAGCCATTTTCAAGCTCGGTGGTGCTGACAGGGCCCCCATAGCTCACTGTGTCCAATATTAGTAGGGATTGGATTACACTCAAGCTGTCTATTGGGGGGGGGGGGGGGGGGGGGGTGTCTTGGCTTCTAAACAACTTTTGAGATAAAATATCAGTCGCACAGTGTATTGTTTTCAATGAATCGGCCAACTAAGACTTGGATCACAAAGAATAGTAAAGTGTAACCAAATGTGTATAGTGATCACATAGATCCCAGCGTGTAACAAAATGTCATCCCCCCCCCCATACATACATTACACACTACACCGAGACAAGCATTCATATATTATTTATTTACACCAAACTGATTTTTTTACATCCAAAATATATAATTAAGCAGCTATACAATAGATGAGGCAGCAAAAGTGTGCAAATCCCAGAACGCCTACCTTCCTGATGTCCTCGAGGAATGCCTTCTTGTCACCCTTAAAGGGGACATGTTTTGGTCCTTGTAGCTGCTTGCTGGCCACTTTGCGCTCATTCTTTAGCGACGACAGACAGCGGGCAAACACGGCTTCACCTGTACAGACAGCAGTGACAACACTGAGGAACGGCACTACAACACACTGTGCAAGATTTTGGGACATATTTTGGCTTTTTCTGCGATTCATGCCTTTCCTGGAGCCGGACATTTTTTTTTTTTTACTCAAAAGCTAAATCCATCGGATATTAAAAGTCAGACGCAGTTTTGGTGACGATTCGGTAGCTTTTTTACCCAAAAGCCCACCATCACCTCTTCAGGGAAGCCTACCCCACCCCCTGCTAACTTGCCGACCTCCTCCACTCTTCCTACCACTCCATCCCCCACAGCTATCTCCTCCTGTGACACCATCCCCTCCCTCCTAGATTGTAAGCTTGAAAGAGCAGGGCCCTGGATCCCCTCATGTTTTGCATTGTATTGGTATTGTTCTGTCACATGTTCTGTCCCCATTTGTAATGTACAGCGCTGAGCGAACTATTGGGTCCTATTGGATTATTATTATTATTATACAGTATTTATAAAGCACCAAGTGTCTGCACAGTCTGGTTACTATTTTTGCTTCAGGAAATTTAATTTGCAAAATTAAGTTAAAAATGATGTGCATTATGATCTGCCATGCAGACACAGACATGTAAGGGGGAGGGAAAAAGGAAACTAAAAAAAGGACAATAACTTGAAGAGCTGCACAGAATTTTATCCCCATCATGTTGTCACCACCCTCCTAACCCCGCTATGCTGCAACTATGTTGCATCACCTCAAAGAAATTGGATCTCGGATGGCACAAGGCTGATTGTGAAGTCTTCTGAGGCTGAATTACACCACCAACACCGCTACTGGGGAGGAAGCTGGAAGTATCTGCAAGATGTCATCTCCTCCCACACAGTGTTACATGGGTCCATCCAGCAACAACAAAGCATCAGCTAATGCAACAGGTTACAAGGAAGTCATTGCAAAAGGTGAATTACCCGGTGTGACCTTTCCTGGACACAATGCTCTACTAAATTTCCTTTTTTTTTTTTTGTGTGTGTGTTACTAAACCCACAACAGTACAATCAGTCTGTAGATGCAGTAAAGCGTGCTTGTTATACTCACTGTGGAACCTAAGGGGTTAATCCTTTGCATGTGTAAAAATGCAGTTTGATCCTGACTTGTCCTATCCTCCTCTTCCTCCAGTGTCCCCCTCTATCGCCTGATAAGACATATTGTGTAGACACTCTGCACATGCTCAGTTTGGTGCTGTATTGCTAGAGAGGTTTTTTATTTTCTTGGGAGTGCGCATGTGAATCAGCACTGTCCAGACAGGTCATCTTCCTAGAGCAGAATAAAAAACTCCTACAAGCTTGAACGTGTACTCAGCTGGACACTGATAGAAGTCACAAGACTGTTCTAACTGCTGATGAGAAAATGTATTTAGCAGTTTATATTTGCTAACATAATTGCATTTCCATGTTGTGTGTACTGTGGGAGACCAGATACAGGGAAATGCGGGGTCCGGGGAGAGCGGATACAGGGAATGCGGGGAGAGCCGGGAGAGCGGATACAGGGAATGCGGGGTCCGGGGAGAGCGGATACAGGGAATGCGGATACAGGGAATGCGGGGTCCGGAGAGAGCGGATATAGTGAATTTTCACTTGGACATTTATTTGTTAGATGTTTTTCTATTATTGTGAATTTCATCTATGCTATGAGTTGGCGCAACACTATGTATATGATTTTATATGCATTGAGTGTTAACACCTTCCCGCCCGGCCTATAGCAGATTGATGACACGGGACACTCCTCGTGACTGGGCGTCATATGACATCCTGTCAAAACGAGCCGCTCACGCGGCTACGCAGCAGTGCGATCTGTCACCGGCACATCCACAGGACACAGCCGATGACATATCACTACACCAGCCCGTTGCCAGTGTCATGTGACCAATCACAGCAGATCACGTCAACTGTATACAATGGATGGCTTCCTGTCATACCATTCATTGTATACAATTGTTTCTTTATCACTTAAAAAGGTAACCGGACATTCTTTTTTTTGTTCTGCTATGTAAAAACAGGAACATGTAACAAATATATAATAGGGTTTATCCCAATTTAGCCCAAAGTGGAAATGCGCTTTAAATATGAGCTCACAAAACGAGATCACTGCTGGCACGCTCACCGATGAGGGTCACAGGAACACCGAAATCTAGAGCAGAGATTGCCGTCCATTTTCCGTTCCTTTCTGCCCGGCTGTGTCCTGGATTTTGGGCAGCAAGTGAGTGCCGTCGGCATCCCGGTATTTTAGGATGTCGGCTGTGATCTCTCGATTAGGAAGGAGTCCAGCTCAGTCTTGTTCCATTCTTCAAATGTCTGAATTACAGAAACAAAGAATGAGAAATAAAAGAACAGAAAATGTGAGCCGGTCGTCTGTGGATTCTCAGAAGAGAAAAGTCATAGAGACTGATGGCCGGTGGGGAAGGCTTGCTCACCTTTGCCATTTCATCGTGATCCATCTGCAGGATGTCCTTCATCAGATGGTAAGCCTCACAGATCAGCTGCATGTCACCGTACTCAATGCCATTGTGCACCATCTTCACAAAGTGGCCAGAACCTTCGTCACCCACCTGGACATAAACAGATCATATATATATATTAAAGGAAGTGGGGGAGGGAGAACATTTTGGAAGCGCTCTAAGCCTTCCAGCACTCTCTGTGTCGTCCTATTAAAGTGTTACTAAACCCACAACAGTACAATCAGTCTGTAGATGCAGTAAAGCGTGCTGGTTATACTCACTGTGGAAATTAAGGGGTTAATCCTCTGCATTGTGTAAAAAAAAAAAAAAAAGGCTGTTTAATCTAATTTTCTCTGATATTCCCCTTCTTCTACTGTCCCCAACTCATCTGCTGATAGAGCTGAGCCTTGGGGACAAGCTGCACATGCTCAATTTGGTGTGTATTGCTAGAGTTTTTATTCTTGGGCAAGTGCATGTGATCAGCACAGGGCCAATCAGCACTGACCAGAGGGTCAGCAAATCACAAATGCGGGGTCCGGGGACAGCGGATACGGTGAATGCGGGGTCCGGGGTTTAGTAACACTAACATGAGAGTGCAGGAAGGTTAGAATGAAGGAACATTGGATATGACAAGATAAAACTATTATCTGCATCTCAGCACAACAGTATGACCTGAACTCTTCACATTCCTCAGAAATGGATTTATACCGGAATCCGAATATGTGGTCTTAAAAAGTTACAACTTTATCAGAAACCAAAAACCACGCTCGAATCTTCTTGCTGCACTGAGAACACAAAATCTAGCACTCGCTGAGATGCCGCCCTTGATAGATCGGAGAATCTTGTAACTAGCGAAAAAGAGCAAAACAGGGCGCACTCTCCTCGTGCATTACTGTGATAAGAAAATTATTATAAAAATTACAAATGCATATTCACAAACCAAAAAGGTCATAAAAACAGAGACAAGAAGTCAAAGATGCCAGTCATGGTCAACAGAGGTCCTCGGTACAAGTGCTAACGCATTGCTCTGAGGAAGGGAGTTAGACTCCCAAAACACGTTAGCACTTTTACCCAAGGACCTCTGTTGCCCATGACTGGCATCTTTGACTTCTTGTCTCAGTTTTTATGACCTTTTTAGTTTGTGAGTATGCATTTGTAATTTTATAATACATTTCTTATTACAACTTTATCCCTTAAAGCTTTACATCAGGATATACAAATACTGTGTGAATACATTGGTCATGCGTCGGCTTCTGGAATCCTGGTGTGCTTTGTGTATTTCTTCCAGATCTGTGCAGTAATCCAGTGTGGGACTTTCCCTCTGTGCAGACGCGTCCTGTAACAAAGACCGCTCACTGCTGCCCTTTCCTTGTGTGCAGGGTAACTGTCTTGACTCCACCCCTTCCTATAGTTCCTTGCAGGCAGCCTGTAAAGGGTGGTGCCTGTTGGGCCCCTCCCATAACTCTGCTCTCCACACAGGCTACATTCAGCACAGTGATGATGTCCCTACTGCGGTGACAACGCGACGTTGGAGGGCTTAGTTTTAAAGGTCAGGTCTACATAATGTGCTAGTATGCAGACCATCCCAGCACATTATGTCTTTACCACGCAGGGGATTTTTTTTTTTTTTTTAATGGACGCGGTTTACTACCGTTTTCAATTAAAGTTTTTGTGCCCAGAGTTCTGCTTTACAAAATGTTATCTATTAGCCATTTAGCTTTACAAAACTTGAACAGCGAGCTTCTGAGGCAGGGGGTCAGAGGTCACCTCAGCCATCTTCAGTGTGTGACCTTACACCAGCTAACACAAGTGTAAACTAACAGCGATTTGTGGTTTAGAGGAATGTGAATGGCTACACGGCTCCAATATTCAAGGCTGCATCACATGACCATAAGTTGGACGACTTTATATTATAAAGCACTGCACAAACGTTTGGCAGTATATAGATCCTGAACAATAACAGCTGAAGGGGGTATTTTCTATGTGCTTTTAAAAAGTTGGAATTGAGGCAGCAAGGAGGCAAGGCAGCCTTTGTGGGTCTGTAGAATATCATACAGGCGTACCTCGGTTTACAAATTTAATGCGTTCTCCGGGACAATTCGTATTGTGAAAACTTCGGAAACCGAAAGGCGGTTTCCCGTAGGAATGCATTGAAAACTTAATCCATTCCGGAGGTCAGAAGAAAGTAATAAAAAAGTCTTATCTGTTCAAAACTGTTTATAAAGTGCACTTTAAAAGGCCGAGGCCAGCGATATAAACCTCCCAGGTGCAATGCATCCTGAGGAAACTTGCTTCGTATTACGAAAAAAAAATTAGTAAACCGAGGAATTATTTTTACTGGATTTTCATTCGTAAACCGAAAATTATGTTAACCGGAGGTACGGCTGTACACCCAAATTTTAGACAGGGGCCAACCAGCATGTCATTGGATTGTGGAAGCACTGGCATCCCTAGTGGGTGCGGGCCACACTGGGTGACACCATCACGGGGTGCAGGAGCAGGATGCCGATACAGTGACAGCTGCCCCCGCCCCAGTGTAGTGGTAAAATGAGTATCCCCTGAAGCAACTGTGCATGTGCTTCAGGGGATACATATCTTCAAGGGATACTCATTTTACCACTACACCGGCACCGCTCCTTCCTCTCTGGAGGGGGTGACACCACATGTTACCGCACCGAGCGACACCAACCCTAGGGATGCCTCTGTGTGGAAGGAAACCCACACAAGCAGAGAACATGCAAACTCCATGTAGATAGTGTCCTGGCTGGTATTTGAAACAAAGACCTCAGTGCTGCACGCCACAAATGCTAACCACTAAGACACTGCGCTGCTCTTTGTATGTATGGGTCTGCTTTTTAGAACACCTGATTTCAGTTCTGACACCGGCAAGCGACAGTAGTCTAGAAACAAGGCAATTAAAGTGTAACTAAAGGCAAAAGTTTGTTCCCCATGTTGGATACAGTAAGGGGGGGGGGGGGGGGGTTAAGACCCCGGTCAGGTTTTTTTTTGCCATCTATGCCCCATTGTGGAATTTCCCTTCACTTCCTGTTAGATAGATAAAAATAGGAAGTGAGAGGACATCCCTGCAAATTGGAGGAAATCTTGGGTCACAAGAACTAGTGTCCCCATTGGAAGATTCCCGTCTATTACTGTTCTGGGGACAACCCAACATTTGGATTTTCATTTACTTTCAATGATAATGGTAACCAGGACAAATAGAGAGGGGGAATCTCCCTAACGGGGACACAGACAGCAGTAAAACATGGACAGGTGTTCTAATCCCTGTTCACTCTCTGGCTAGAACTAAAAAACGTCTTTAGTTATACTTTAATACTAGTTGTATAAGCAGCGGTTCTGTGGTTCTGGAAGAAAACTGAACATTGGGCTCTTATGTCTAGGAATTACTAATGCCAAATGTCTGCCAAATGTCCTCATTGTGACAAAGTGGTGTGTGAGGCTGCATACCAGACTCTGCTCACAGATACACTCCGACACACGGCCCATGTCTTTGCAACAAAGGTCTGCATTATAATACAACGTATGTTTTTTAGTACGCACCCAATCACAGCATGGCTCCTTCCCAACCTTGGCGGCTATGCTCTGGAAGATATCTTTAATATACGGCCTGATGGAAATACAAAGAAATCCGTTAACTTGATTACAAAAATACGATTTGATAATATGCTGGAAACAAATCCTCAATGTGCACTTTTCTGTTCTCACGTTGCAGAAGTTACAATAGAGTGTCTCATCTGTTCCTAACATCCCAATCATGTCTTTAAAGTGTACCTGTCATGAGAGACATGAATTGACCTCCCTGTGAATCGGATTGCTGCATGGCTTATATACTTCTGGAACAAGCGTACAGCAAATACAGTCAGCATTCACCATCTCTGCTTGTTCACAGTCAGCCATGACCTGGGTCTGGCCCCACTGTTACAAAGAACAGCAAATACAGAGACTGGTGAACTGGCTGCGCTACGAAACAAGTGGGGGCACCCGTGTTCCTCCAAGGCCGTTCTTTGCCCTGGTATTTTATTATTTTAAAGTGTGCAAAGTTGTGTCTGCGGTCCATCTGCACCTTCTCCCACGTCAGCGGGCTGTACAGAGGAGCCAAAGGACCTTTCTATATGGTGGCCATTGAAATGCTACTGAACACGTTTTCATTCTGTAAGTGCAACAATCTGTTTCTTTTTTTTTTTTTTTTCTTCATTTTTACTAAACAAAAAGTGATGTTTTTTTCACAAAACTAGTGTGATGTCCCTTTTTTATCTTACTGGGCAATTCCTTTTTTATAAAATTGTAAAATTTCAGAATTGGGCTTTAACCACTTCCCATCCGGCCCATGTACATAAATGGCCGGACGGGAGCAGTGCAGGAGCGGGTTGCCATTTATAAATGGCGCCCACATTTGCAGCCTGTGCACACTCCTTGGGAACACCTCATCAGAACACCAATCGCTGTACGGGACCTCTGTGTGAGGTCGCAATCATGTGATCACTGATTGGCCAATCAGTGATCACATGAATAGTAGTAATCAAGATGTCACTTCCTGACATCATTGCTTATTACATGTGAAATCTGTGAATGATCCAGAGGTCACATGGTACAGGGCTATTCACAACAGCCTTGTACCATGTGACAAGCTGTGACCAATCACAGCTCTCACAGTATTTCTCAATGGCTACAAGAATGCAGCCAGAGAGAAGGAGAAATTATTGCTCTTACAGCCTTTATGGGTGTAAAAGCAATCAGTGCAAGAAAAAAATAACAAAAGAAAAATCATCACCCCCCAGAAGTAGTACAGTGTCACTATGGTAACACTCTACTGCTAGGGTGACAGTATGTTAAAAAAAAAAAACCAAAAAACAAATATAAAAAGATAAAATAAAAATGTAAGAAAATTTTTTTTGTAAATTATAATTTGTTTATAAACTAAACTAATTTGTGTTATTTTTTTACTAAAAAGATAACGGAATAAATTGTGGCCAAGATTTATGAAGAAAGATTATTTGCAAAATTTTATAAGAAAAAACACTCTCTTTTTCAAAATTGTTGGACTTTCATTTATATAGCAAAAAAAATAAAATCCAGTGCTGAATAAATACCACCAAAAAAAAAAAAAGTTTTATCTGTCTCCAAAAAAATGCTAAGAAATTAATATGGGTACAGTGTTGCATGACCGCGCAATTCTCATTCAAAGTGTGATAGCGCTGAAAGCTGAAAATCGGCCTGGACAGGAAGGGGGGTGAAAGTGTCCGGACTTGAAGTGGTTAAAAAGGCATAGAACTCCTTTTGCAAAAGTGCAGTAAATGCGCCAACATTGATTAAATAAAATGTAAATTTATGAAATGTTTGCACTGAGGTCTGCAGAGCATTGCAACCATAATCAGTGTGTTGCGGATGCAATGCAGAGGCTCTTGAAAAGCTTTCCTCCAGCAACAGATCCACACAGGTGTACAGATCTGGCTGGAGGAAGTGCTGCTGAACTACGGCATTGAAGGGAGGAGGGAGCACAAGGCATTCTCTCCAAGTCTTATTGCAGTAAATGAGATAATCAGGAAAGGGTGGGGGGGGGGGAGGGGTTTGTATGCAACCACGTTTCACATTACACCACAAATATTAGTGAAGCATGAAACATGGTACATTATATAGGATGTACATGGCCTTCAACTACACCTAGCGCTGGGGTGTGTGAAAGTAGATGTGTATGCATGGTTCAAGCAGCACCTGATACACAAAACCTGAAAAGAGACAAACACTGAAGGTCCTCATGCGATGATCATACCAAGCTTCCTTGTCTCCTCCAGGCATCAAAGAGGGCCCATATCTTGCTCCATCCTCCCCGCCACTGACTCCGCTGCCAACAAAGAAGATCCCTTTTGGCCTCAGTTCTTTGCATCGCCTCTGAAAAATAACATTTATATACTTTAGTGCAAATATCAATGACAGAGTTTCAATGAACCTAAGAATGTTTACATTTGTAAAAATGAAGAGCAGTCATTGGGCTATTTTATGGGTCTTAGAGCAGTGTTTCTCAACCTTTTTTCAGTCAAGGAACTCTTCAAAAATGATGGCCAGCCCCGAGGCACCCTTCAAAATTGATGGCCACTCCCGAGGCACCCTCCAAAATTGATGGCCACTCCCGAGGCACACCTCCAAAATTGATGGCCACTCCCGAGGCACCCTCCAAAATTGATGGCCACTCCCGAGGCACCCTCCAAAATTGATGGCCACTCCCGAGGCACCCTCCAAAATTGATGGCCACTCCCGAGGCACCCTCCAAAATTGATGGCCACTCCCGAGGCACCCTCCAAAATTGATGGCCACTCCCGAGGCACCCTCCAAAATTGATGGCCACTCCCGAGGCACCCTTCAAAATTGATGGCCACTCCCGAGGCACCCTTCAAAATTGATGGCTACTCCCCCCGAGGCACCCTTCAAAGTTGATGGCCACTCCCGAGGCACCCTTCAAAATTGATGGCCACTCCCGAGGCACCCTTCAAAATTGATGGCCACTCCCGAGGCACCCTTCAAAATTATGGACACTCCCGAGGCACCCTTCAAAATTATGGACACTCCCGAGGCACCCTTCAAAATTATGGCCACTCCCGAGGCACCCTTCAAAATTATGGCCACTCCCGAGGCACCCTTCAAAATTATGGCCACTCCCGAGGCACCCTTCAAAATTATGGCCACTCCCGAGGCACCCTTCAAAATTATGGACAGCCCCGAGGCGCCCCATTCTAAAATGTGAAAAAACTATTCTAATGCTTTCATATAACGCAGCAACATCCCTACATGTAGGACACCCAACGTTAGAGGGGATTTATTCTTCCAAAGCAAATACACTTTTGCACACTGGTACTGACTAGTAAGCCAATGTTTCTCCTCTCCCTCAGTTTTTATCCATCACTGAGCTGATGTGACCCCAGCACTGCTGGAGAGGGGCGGGGGAGGGTCAAACTAGGATGCTGTGCAGGCAGCTGACATCCTCCTAATCAACTGATGTCATTGGTTGTCATGACACCGGCAGTTAGAAGGTCGTAATGGTGCACAATGAGAACCTATGGCTTTGTGTAACTAAAATGCGAGCTTGATCCACCGGCTGGCTTGTATATACGTTTTGGGCAATTTGTAGACATTTTACCAAAGCACCCCTGAGGAAACCTCAAGGCACCCCATGGGCAACCTGGTTGAGAAAGGCTGTGTTAGAAGACTTACCATAGTGTCACGGTATTCAGAGTTCCCGCCATCGATGATGATGTCACCAGGCGACAGTAAAGGAACCTGCAACCAAAAAACAAGTTCAGAACACAGTAACCAAGTTTTTTTTTTTATTTTGGAAGGTAGAAGTAAATACACAAAAGTAATGAGTCAGGAGATTATTATTGGAAGCCAGCATAGATTTCAGCTCATATTCACAGCAAACTGGCAAACCAAAGTCAACATGCCGCAGGCGGGATCTGGGTGCAGCTGGCACTGAAATCATACAAAGGAGGCCGTGTACATAATCATGATAAAAGATTGTGCCGATAAATATTTTGGTAACAAATGTGTTCAGTTAATGGTAAATATGCCCTCCAGGACCTGTAAAGGTAAGGGGAACCTTCAAAATGTGGCTTACCAGGCTCTCGATGAAAGCATCCACGGCCTGACCCGCTTTCACCAGCATCATCACCCGGCGAGGCTTCTTCAGCTTGCACACCATCTCCTGCAGTGAATGGGCTCCAATGATCTTGGTGCCTTTTGCTTCGTTGGCCAGAAACTCGTCCACTTTGGACACCGTCCTGTTAAATGCGCAGACCTGGAGAGGAGAGGAGAGGAGAAGGCTGTAATAAAAGGGGGCAGAGAACAATCAAGCCTGCAAAAGGTCAACCAATCTGATCTTAAAGCAAAGTTCCACTCACACTGTGAAAAATAAAAGTCAGTAGCTTCTGACTTTTAAAAAACAGCCACTTATCTGTCCCACGACAATCCCGCGGTGTCCTCCCAGCAGCCCGTTTGGCCAGCCGTCTGGTGTTCCAGGCTCCGGCATCTTCAGTGTGGGCACCCGGCTGTGACAGCTTGCGGCTTCACAGCTGGGCGCCCACTGCACATGTGCAAGTAATGCTGCGCTTCCAGAATGGCCCCGTAGTCTTCTGGGTAGGAGGGCAACTTCCGCTTCCCTAGGTGATCGCAGCAGAAGTGGGAGCGGGTACCCGTTCCCCAAAGGTGACAATCCTTAATGGGGAGCAGGGGACCAGTCCTTAAAGCGGAACTTCCCCTTCTGGGTGGGGCTAATGCTTTAAGATGCAAGTGAAATATGGCAACTAGAGTATTTTTTTTTTTTAAACCTTTGGATACAGTGTAGAGTCATTAGAACCCCTGTCAGTTTTTATGGCTGTCTGTGTGCCCGTTGGAAGATCCCCCTCTCTATTTGTCCAGTTTACCATTATCAAAAGTAAAAATAAAAGAAAGTCCCAAATTCTGGGTTGCCCCCAGAAAAGTAAACTAGTTCTGGTGACCTGGGCGTCCCAAGAGATTTGCAGGTATTTCCTCTCACATCCAGCTGGTTATGAGGCAGGAAATGAAGGGAAATTTCGCCAATGGGACAAAGATGGCAAAAATAAACCTGTCAGGGGTTATAACCCCCCTTAAGCCTTCCTTTTTTGTTTTTTTCTTTTATTTTGCCTATAGTTCTACTTTAAAGACCTGTATATTATTATTATTATACAGTATTTATATAGCGCCAAAAGGTTTGCTCAGCGCTGTACAGTATAGTGGGGTATAATGCATTTATATAGAATTAGCCCTGAGATCATCCTCTAGTATTCCTCTAAACAGCAGCAACAAGACTGGGAGAGGGAGAGCAGCACCAAGATCCAGTTGGGACTAACGGGTTGAGAACACTGTGATAACCTCATCAGCGGGCTTCTGCTCCTTCACGGTCCAGTCATAGGCTGAGGCAGTTCCTGTATCATTTAACTGCAATGTAGTGTGAATGGGGGTCAGAGACCAGGCTGTACAATATATAGTAGGCTTGCCTGAATCGCAAGACCAGCTGAAAACATTTGCATTCCTTCAGGCAGGTAAAACAATTCCTATACACTGTATGGATTTCAACTGTGAGCTTAGCTGCTTGTCTAAAGTCCATTTTTAAAGCATGTTTTCATGATTGCTTTGGCCTGACCGGGAAGTGTAGAGCTTGAGTCCTGAGCATTGTTCTGTACTCCATTGCAGCCATCGTGTGACTTCAGATGTCATGTTTCAGCACAGGCTTAGTCACAATTGGCTGTTGGGAAAGAACTGTTCTTAGAAATCGCACGTACGGTACATTAGTTACTAATAGCCAGCACCCTGCAGTCCTCCTCCACCTATCCTGACTGCAAGCTATGAGTGGGCAGGGGGAGAACGGACAAGCTGCCTTGTTGCAAAGGGCTGAGAATGCGGCGCACACAAGTGCAGGACTTGGCCTCATGTCCCAGTATATGGTATTCCCTACACCAGATCTCACGGTACAAAAGTGCCCTGCGATGCTGTTGCAATGAAAAAGGAATGCATGCACTACTGTTGGTGCGGTGTGACTTCACCCCTTTGAAGATGAATGGGCTGAGATCGCACCGCACAGAACTGCACGTGAATCAGCCCTTGACCCTTGCAGCGCAGGAGAAGTCCCATAGCAAGGGTAGCTTTGTAATTTCCTGGAGTTCAGTTTCAGCTGCAATAGAGAAGTCAGGTCACCGAGCCGGCAGAGCTGTGTGAAGGTCAGGATGGAACACTAGAAGTACATATATGGGAGCGCTTTTTTCCTGTTCAAGGATTGGTATTTAGCGCTTTGCCTGGCGTTCACCTTCCCTGTGAATTTCCTCTCTCTTCAGGGAAGCCTATCCTGCCCTCAGCTGATAATGGAATCTTCTACTCCTCCTGCCAGTCCATCCCCCCACAGTTATTACCTTTTGTACCACTAGCCCCTCCCTCCTAGATTGTAAGCTCCCAGGATCAGGGCCCTCCTAACCCTCTTGTATTGAACTGTATTGTTCCTGTATTGTCTCCCGTTATATTGTAAAGTGCTGAGCAAACTGTTGGCGCCCATAAATCCTGTATAATAATAAGATCCCAACCACGGCACCACCTGCCTGTGTTTGCATGTTCTCCCTGTGCCTGTGTGGGTTTCCTCTGGGTCCTCCAGTTTCCTCCCACACTCCAAACACATGCTATAAATCCTGTATAGTAATAATAACTAGAAAATCTACAATTTCTGGGGAAATTGTGTAAAGTGTTCTTGCCGCAACCTTTACCAAGTAATGATGACATGTAAGCAGTGCACATTGCAAGCCTGACAGAGGGAGAAATGCATTTCAGCTTGTATTTACCATCTCACAGTCCAGCCTGTGTGACTCAGCCTCTTGAGTGACTGCGTGTGAGTCATGTTTGGTTGCTATAGCAACTCACTCTGTCAGGAATGTCATTAGCTGTGCTCTAAACACGCTTTTTAAACTTGGCAAGTTCACTGGCGATTGCCATCTTCAAACGCTTGTAGTTTTAAAAGTATAAATGCTACCGTGAAAAGGTTTATATTGTGACAATCACAAGAAACAGACCTAAATTTTGATATATAGTATGTCTCTGCAATATTAAAAATGAAGGCACAGTCGCAGTTTAAAAACATCCCTTAAAATGTCAGGTATCTAGAGTGGAGTTTCAATGAAAGTCAATGGGAGGGGTGAGGTGCAAACAAATGGTCATATTGTGAAAACTATCAGGAGTATGTGCCTAGCCGTGAACATTTTTATAAAAAGTTGGATAGTTACTTGTGAGCCACTAGGAGTTTTCTTTCTATATATAAACTCTATTGTTAATTGATATCATACATAAAAAATTATAAAAAAAATATATTCTGAAAAATATATAAATAATAAAATATTACGAATTAATTCATTAATTGCGTGCTAAAATTAGTATTAATTAAATATTAGATCGCCAGGTACTAATCGAACCCTCTCTAGGTGTATAAATATTAATCATAAATGCCAGTAGTGTACCGCGCTCCAATATATTCTACCTTATGTGATATAAATGAATTCATAAGTGTATCACCGATAATCAAATAATTACATCAATTAATTATACTTAAATATATGATTTGTGTAAATATATAAAATAAATTAATTTTATCAATGTGAAAAAACAAAAACTATGAATGAAAAATATAAATAAAAAAATATTTGCAGTGGGAATGAGAATTCCTTCTGTATAAATGAGATGGTGTTATTATTCAGTCTGGATAGTGTGTGAGTCTGTGTCCACTGCGTGAACCTCTCTCTCCTCTCTCCTCAGCACAGCCTTCTCAGTGAGACTTTCTCCACTGGCTGCTTGGCTTAGTCCTCCATATATGGAACATACAGAGATGTAAAAATTAAAATAAAAATAAAATTAACATAAAATTAAAATAAAATTATTTTAATTTTATTTTTTTTTAATTTTATTTTTATTTTTAAAAATTTTATTTTAATTTTATTTTATTTTATTTTATTTTAATTTTAATTTTTATTTTTTTTATTTTAATTTAATTTTATTTTAATTTTATTTTAATTTTATTTTTAATTTTATTTTTTTTTATTTTTATTTTTTATTTTTATCCAGACTGAATAATAATACCATCTCATTTATACAGAAGGAACTGTCATTCCCACTGCAAATATTTTTTTTATTTATTTTTTAATTTTTATTTTATTTTTATTTTATTTTTATTTTATTTTTTTTTTATTTTATTTTTTTTTTTTATTTTTATTTTTTTTTTTTTTTTTTTTAATTTTATTTTATTTTATTTTTATCCAGACTGAATAAAACAACATCTCATTTATACAGAAGGAACTGTCATTCCCACTGCAAATATTTTTTATTTTTTTTATTTATATTTTTCATTCATAGTTTTTGTTTTTTCACATTGATAAATTAATTTATTTTATATATATTTACACAAATCATATATTTAAGTATAATTAATTGATGTAATTATTTGATTATCGGTGGTACACTTATGAATTCATTATATCACATAAGGTAGAATATATTGGAGCGCGGTACACTACTGGCATTCGTGAACATTTTTAGTGACAGCAGGGTTAGCTGAACGTTTTGATATAAGATATGTGTAGGTGGGCTTGAAAATGAAAGAGTGATGGCAGTTTACAAAATCATGTTCTGATTTTTCCTTCCACACTGCAGCTTTCTCACTTCTCACTCTAATGTGACTCAGCTGCCCCCTGAGTGACCTTTGCTTGCACCTGTTACCTCAGTCAGTCACAGGTGTGTGAGAAGCTCTGCTCTAAACAGGCTGTTTAAACTTGCCAAGTTCACTGGCGATTGCCATTTTCAAACGCTTGTAGTTTTAAAAGTATAAATGCTACCGTGAAAAGGTTTATATTGTGACAATCACAAGAAAAAGACCTAAATTTGATGTATAGTATGTCTCTGAAAGATAAAAATGAAGGCACAGTCGCAGTTTAAAAACGTCCCTTAAAATTTCTTGTGTCTAAAGTGGAGTTTCAATGAAAGTCAATGGGAGGGGTGAGGTCCAAACAAATGGTCATATTGTGAAAACTATCAGGAGTATGTCCTAGCCGTGAACATTTTTAGTGACAGCAGGGTTAGCTGAACGTTTTGATATAAGATATGTGTAGGTGGGCTTGAAAATGGCAGAGTGATGGCAGTTTACAAATCATGTTCTGATTTTTCTGATTTTTCCTTTGCACACTCTAGCTGTGCTCTGCTGCTCAATGCATTCCTATGGGAAAATTTTGCCGCAAAAACCGCGATATTTCTTGAACGATTCGGCGAAACGTTCCACAAAGTAATAGCAATCCGATCGGGAACAATCCGCACGTTTTGATATATTACTTGTATTTGTAGTGTAAAAACTGTGGGAGGAGTTAGCGTGGCAAATATGGCTATAATAAGAATATATTTGTGAGATAACAATAAGTGTTCCTTGCTATGCAAGAACACTTAATGATCCCAACCACGGCATCACCTGCCTGGAGTTTGCATGTTCTCCCTGTGCGGGTTTCCTCCCACACTCCAAACACATGCTATAAATCCTGTATAGTAATAATAAGATCCCAACCGCGGCATCACCTGCCTGGAGTTTGCATGTTCTCCCTGTACCTGTGTGGGATTCCTCTGGGTCCTCCGGTTTCCTCCCACACACTCGAAAGACATGCTATAAATCCTGTATATTAATAATAATTGTACAGTTGCCTCATTTTGAAGGTCTTGCTGCTGAACAAGAAATCAAATCAATATGAAGTATTGCATAACGGAGCCCTGAGCCAACGTGTGTTACATCACCAGCAGCGCTTACCACAAATCCGTGGTCGTTCATGTTAAGGATCAGGTTCTGGCCCATGACAGCCAATCCAATGAGAGCGATGTCTGCCCTGTGGGAGGGAGAAGAAATGATCAATTAAAAGGCAGAATTGTTAGATTGTAAGCTCCTGGGATCAGGCCCTCCTATCCCTCTTGTATTGACCTGTATTGTCTCCCTTCATATTGTAAAGTGCTGAGCAAACTGTTGGCGCCATAAATCCTGTATAATAATAAAATCGTGTATAATTGCAGTGGCCATGTGTGGGGTTCATACCAGGACAGGGATGGGTAGAGCGCCCTCCACGCCCATCCCAAACAAGCTGCTTCAAGCCGCGGTCACACATGAATAGTATCCGAGACTGAACACTCCTGGATCTACTGAACGCTGTGTACACAGAACCCTGCACAGCTCACCGGGAGACCCCATACATGGCTGGAAGAGACGTATACTGAGTTATACTGAGCAGAATAGGAAACCTAGAGATGGGTGCAGTGCAGAGCCGTGCGGGAAGGGCAAATGGCAGCTATTAGGTCACTTGTGTGGCAATGTTCCTACAAGAGGACCTGTCATCACCGGGCTGTACAGTCAGACATTTTCTGAAAGGTTTCATCCGCCCAGAAGTGAGATTTTATTATAGAAGGAGCCTGGTCTGCTGCATTGGTCCCCGACTTCTCATATGTTCTGGATTCTCCAAACAGGGAGATCCCTCTGCTGACATTTCCAACTCTGTTCCTGCCCGGGAACCCCTCATATGGGCACAGCGGGTGTACAGACCTGGGGACTCAGCACGGGGATGGTGGGAACCCCTCATAATGGGCACAGCGGGTGTACAGACCTGGGGACTCCGCACAGGGATGGCGGGAACCCCTCATAATGGGCACAGCGGGTGTACAGACCCGGGAACTGAGCACAGGGATGGTGGGAACCCCTCATAATGAGCACAATGAGTGTACAGCACAGGGATGGTGGGAACCCCTCATAATGGGCACAGCAGGTGTACAGACCCAGGGACTCACCACAGGGATGGCGGGAACCCCTCATAATGGGAACAGGGGGTGTACAGACCCGGGAACTTAGCACAGGGATGGTGGGAACCTCTCATAATGAGCACAATGGGTGTACAGACCCGGGAACTCAGCACAGGGATGGTGGGAATCCCTCATAATGGGCACAGCGGGCGTACAGACCCAGGAACTCGGCACAGGGACGGTGGGAACCCCTCATAATGGGCACAGCGGGCGTACAGACCCAGGAACTCGGCACAGGGACGGTGGGAACCCCTCATAATGGGCACAGCGGGTGAACAGACCTGGGAACTCAGCACAGGGACGGTGGGAATCCCTCATAATGGGCACAGCGGGTGTAGAGAGCAGGAAACAATTGTTACTAAAGCTGGAGTACACAGAATGGGGTGCAGATGTACATAGTGACCAATCAGCTAGTTCTATAACACCTGGAAGCGGATTGGTTACTTTGCAGAGCTGTGTGCTCCCATTGCAGTAAGTCTCCCCCTCAGTGTAAACTAAATGTCACTCATTGGGGGGGGGGGGGGGGGGGGTTTACATTCACTTTAAAGCCCAACTCCGGACACAATCCGCTTACTGGGAGTCCGCTGCCTCAGAAGCCCCGTACCGCCATCTTGTTTACGTCGGTGGAGCTCCTGCTGTACTTTGGATGCAAGAGATGCAGGCCCCAGTGCTGAATTTACATGTCTACGCCTCCCTCTCCCTCCAGCCAATGACAAAACACACAGCCCCATGCTCAGTTTAGTGAATGGCTGGGGGGAGAGGGAGGTGGAGACAGGACCTTAGCACTGGGGTCTATGAGACCGATACCTGTGGAAATGGAGAATCGCCATACTAGCCGCAGCTACTACAGTGATTGGAACAGGACCCAGAGGACCGTGACAATCAGCTGACCTGTAACCGCAAGAGAGGGGTTCTGCTAGCCCAGCACAGACACCAATCACAGAAGCCCTCGCATTTGTTTTTTTTCCCAAAGTGTTTTCAGATTGGATGGAGGTGGAAATTGTGACATCACTGCCCCTCCTCATCCAATCAGAGAATTTCTTGAGAAAATCGCAAGGCCTTTGTGAATGGTGCACTGCCTAGAGAGGCAGCACAGTGGCTAAATGGTTAACACGTCCGCCTGGCATTACTCGGGTCGTTGGTTCAAATTCCAACCGCAACATCACCTGCATGGAGTTTGCATGTTCTCCCTGTGCCTGCATGGGTTTCCTCCGGGTACTTCGGTTACCTCCTACACTCCAAAGACAAGCTTTTTTTTTTTTTTTTTTTTAAGTCTGCGGAAGTGCGAAAAACCCGTAAGTGAACAAACAACGTGCTAGTGCAAAACCAACACAAAAAAGTGCACTTAGGGGTGTGCTTTGTCCACCCCCCAAAGGGGTAGGACCTCTACCCTGATCCCCCGGGGCACGAAGCTCCTGACAGGGACTAAGGGTTCCACATGGTCCGCCTGGTGGACCCCTTTCCTTTGTGGCTAGCCAAAGCCAGCCACCAAATGCTAGGTCAGGGGGCTCTCCCGAAGAGAGACCCCCCCTTCCCCCCAGGAACAGGGGAGGAAGGAACCAAAAGCCACACATCCTCCCCCTAGACTTCAGGGTAGGCCCGAGGACCCACACCCTACCATGGGCAGCCACTGGGAGAGGACACAGTCATGTTCAAAAGTATTTATTTATAAACATTCTCTGTTTAGGAAAAAAAAATATAATCCCATACTAAAACCACTAGGATCGTTGGTTCAAATCCCAACCACAACATCACCTGCCTGGAGTTTGCATGTTCTCCCTGTGCCTGCGTGGGTTTCCTCTGGGTACTCTGGTTTCCTTCCACCCTCCAAAGACATGCTGGTAGGTTAATTGGCTCCTGTCTAAATTGTCCCTAGTATGTGTATGTATGAATGTGAGTTGGGGACCTTCGATTGTACGCCCCTCGAGGGTCGGGGACCTTCGATTGTACGCCCCTCGAGGGTCGGGGGACCTTCGATTGTACGCCCCTCGAGGGTCGGGGACCTTCGATTGTACGCCCCTCGAGGGTCGGGGACCTTCGATTGTACGCCCCTCGAGGGTCGGGGACCTTCGATTGTACGCCCCTCGAGGTTAGGGACTGATGTGAATGTACAATATATATGTAAATTGACAGCGCTATATAAATAACTGTAATAAACTCATCAATCTGCATTTGTATGGGGGGGGGGGGGGGGGGGGTGCTGTACAACACTGTACCTCCATGACAGTCACATGACCTGTCCATACTTTGCTCACTCAAAGGGTCACGGGGTGTTGTGGTCACCGACCTTTTCCTTGCCGGGTCCCATCTGCTTCCTAGAACGACTTCAGAGCAGCGATGGATACAAAAATAAACACCGGCTAGTAAATCCGTGTGACTGATCAGATTACTGTGCAGGATTAGTGACTTCCGTGTGACCCTCCAGCTCCTGCCACCAAGACATTAAGGCGAGGACAGGTCTTCAAGGGACAACACTGGGACTAATCACTTCCTGCCTGACGTAAGTAGTCACTAAATGGGATACTCCGCGGGTACTCAACCTTCTGAATGAAGAGCGAGGGCCACTTGAGTGATTTAGGAACAATGAAATTAAAGGGTCGCATGGGCCCCCCTGGAGCACAGGGTAGGGGGGATGCCACTCCAACCCCTGGTTGGAATAGGGGGGACCGGTGGCAAAAAAATACATGGCCCGAGTATGGGGGTTTTACTGCCCTCCCTCAAACCACAAATGTAAAACCGGCCCCCTACAGGGCTGCTTTCACACACGAGTGGATGTGGGTTACCCGTATCAGGGGTGCAGGGCAGAGCGCCTGCGGGTTGGCTCCACTTTGCCATAGACTTCTATTACATCTTGTGGGGTGGGATGAACTTTCTGAAAGCGCACCAGACCCACAGGATATAAAAAAAAGAAGGGGCGCTCTCCTGGTTTGAGCTCGAGGGCCACAGCAGAAGGCTCCAAGGGCCACAGGTTGAGCACCCCTGGGATATTCTATAGAAGAAGACAAAGAAACGCCATTGCTGGGACAGATGCACACTTTCATGTTCTAACCCAACATTGGGGACTGGATAGAACCTATCACGCCTCTTTGTTCCCTTGTGGAAATTTTACCTTCACTTCCTGTGCCTCAGACACAACAGGAAGTGAGGGAAATCCCCTCTTAACGGCCTTGATCACACAGGGCTGCACAGGAGTTCCACGGATCCCCGTGTAGGCAGTCCCATTCATGACTACTGGGACACAGCCGCCGGTCCCAATCTGACCAATGTGCGGGAGCGTGTCCCAAAGAACTTTCCCATTGGAAGAGTTTCCCTTCACATTCAGTTCCAAAAGATATAAGAAGCTGCCAGCCGAGTTCATCTTTCCGGCATTTACAAATAGAAGAGTATATGGTGCAGGAGGACGATTGGACATGGAGGGTTCCTAGCCGGGAGGTTCCTTTACTATTGGATCAGATGACATCGATCTGTTGTTGTGAAAGAATGACTGAGCGGTGTCATAGATTCCCTGTGTATGGCCGACTCTCACACCCGACGACCGGGACACCAGACCCAGAACCCCCCAATATTAGTAAGAGATCCAGGAAGGAAGAATAGACACTCCGCACATACACAGAGTAGTGAGCCGTGATAGGCCGATCCTGACTGCATCCATGTCACAGATCCCACAAAACCCACGGGGGACCAAGCCGCCATTTTATCATAGACAAGGTTTACACGGTCCCAGAATCTCTTACATGGTCCCTCTTCAACATACAAAGCAGAGATCTGCACTGGGAACCTGCTGAGGGGTTGATGATGCCCCAATCCTCCATCCAGCCTCCAAAATCATCACGTCTGCAAATCCTAACATACAGGAAAGAAGATTGGAGGAAAAAAAGAAACGCCACGTCACCCCGAGCTACGGAACGGGGAGGAGGCAACGTAACCCTGTCAGTGCACCCGGCCCTCCCCCGTCATATCCCCCCCTCAGTGTACCCGGCGCTCCCCCGTCAATCCCCCCTCAGTGTACCCGGCACGCCTGTCATCCCCCCTCAGTGTACCC